AGAGCTTGTTCTTTTTTCTGTTAAACTGGACTTCTTTTTCCTATTTAATTTGATTTTTTTTTCATTCTAGACTTTTCTTCCAAGATTTTATGACTTATCTTTTAACTTTTTAATGGTACCTTTTAATGCACAAAAGTTTTTAATTTTAAAAAGTAGTCAAATTGACCAACATTTTTCTTTGTGGTTTGTACTCTCTGTTGTCTACAAAACTCTTCCTTACACTTTAGTCATGAAGATATTCTCCTATAATTTTCTCAAAACATAATATTTTCAAAATATTTTAAAGTTTGAATTTTCATACTTAGGACTTAAAACATTTTTCAATATATAGAACAAACTAAAAGCTCATTCCGTTTCTTCATACTGCTAGGAAATGATTCTACCATAATTGTCTGAAAAATCATTTGTTGAGATCAGGCTGTGCACTACCCTAAGCTACTTTATATTGTCTAAAATAGGTTTTCTGACTGTGCATTGCATTGTATAGACTCCTTTTTGCAAGCAGCATTTCACTCTGTACTTTGGTGGACATGTACACAGCACCATCTGTCCAGCCCCAACCACAAAACATAGGTTGATAAACAACTCATTCCTAAAGTAAGAAAGGGTGCAACCCTATAAATTTATTAAGTAAATGTGGACTATAGAAGCATATGGGCTATTAAAACCATATCAAATAAATAAATTAATTAAACAGGATCAAGAAATTATCAGACATACCATACTGACAAAAGAGTCTAACTGCCTCACCCAGACCCCATGAACGAGGAAACACAACACTGCAATGGTATTTGTCCCACCTGTCAACTGACTGACTACCCAGCGTATGTCCAGGGACGGACAGGGAGGATGGGCTCCTGGCTGTCCCAGAGACTTCAGCTCAGCTCCATTCTCACTCTTGACACAGCTTTCTTGAATTGCTATCTGTCCATCCACCCATTCATCTGTCTAGACCCAGTCCTGCCCTTTGCCTCTATAGCTTCCACTAAACCTCATTTTTGCAGCTCAGCTTGGGCCCTGCAGCCTGATTCAGCAGCAACATCTGCAGCATCATTTTGTTATCCCATAGACTCTTTCCCTCTCTATCAGTTCTGCTTCTCAGGCCTCTTTGAAACCCCTTTAATTCTGCTATGACCTTTTTAACCCCTTTGAAACCATTCTATAATATACAGAGATTTACTGTGTGATGTGCAGTGAAAGCTCTGATCTGAGAGTTAATATTAGTAAATAAAACTGTCATAAAATAACTTGTATTTGGCTCAGCTAGATCTATGGAGAAGAATGGGCTGCTCAACAAATTGTTGCTGACAAAACTGCCATACCTTATGAATTTATTTTTACTCAATAAATCTGACGTGGAATAAAGACACAGATATGATTATCTATGTTTCTGACATAGTACACTCACAACATCATTTGTTAAGCCTTAATATTTAACAGGGAAATATGCTGCCGTGGTTCTTGCTAAAAACTGGCTTGGCTATTCTTGTCCTTTGGTTCTAATATATGCTCTCCTTGTGTTTCAGAGGCATGCTCCAAGGTCTTTCTACTTAGAGCTAAAGAGTAAGTCTAAACCCTTGGGTATGTTCTCTGAATTGAGCCCTTAGTATCCCTTGCCAGGCCCTTTCCTCAAGAGGAATCCTATCCATAGAGGGTGGAGATTAAGAAGATACTAATGATGGAGAAGCAAAATCAAAGTTTCATTTTCCAAGCCAACTCCTTTCCCGAATTCCCCATCCCAAAGGAAGTTTTACTAAAGGATATTCACTGTTCCCACCAAAGTTCAATCTAGTCAAATACTGTCATGTTTATCCTTCCAGAAGGAAAGAGTAATGGAGTAGACAAATAGAAAAAAAAGAAATATTTTTAAGTGTGATGGAAAGGATTCACGCTGCTAAATTTTTTTATTAAAAACATGCTCCAAAGACACAACTGTACATTGTTAAGAGAGGTTGCTTTGTAGATCTACAAGTATAGAGAGGTGCGGGGTAACCATTTTTAAGTGATTTTAATCATTTAAATTTTAATAAGTTTTAAATTATTTTCAATTTTTAAAAAATATTATTAATAATATAATTTTTTAAAGTCTTCCATTTAAAAAATATAAATCTGTACTATTAGAGATTTGCCCTACTCAGGTTCACAGAAAGCAATGCCGTTTTTTGCAAAAAGTAATTGCTAGTGAACAATAGCTTTTTAAACACTGCCCCCTACTGTTCACATTCAGCTTTCTCTGAAATGATAAGGACCACAGAAATAACAACCAGGCCCTTCCGCATTTGAAATCAGTTTAGCATTTTCGTTTAGTGTGCCAGATTTCACAGATTGGGGCAATTTCAACTATACAATTGCCGGGCTTCGCTAAAGCAAATCCCAGGCATTTGAACATTACTCTCATCAGTAATACAGCCAACTCCAGACGGGGCCAAATTGGACTTGGGCAGCACTGACAATACAGTAGCAACACTGAGAAACATCAGGAAAGACAAGAACCCCATGATGGCGTGTGCAACATTAGACTGGTATAATCAGTCTTAGTTTTAAAAATTAAAAAGAAATCTAGCAAGAATGACAAACTTCTACAAAAGAAATGAATCTTGCTTTATATCCACGCAAACTCACATCTCATAGATGATTTTTGCTTTCAAATGATCTGTTGACTAGACTTTCTGACTAGTTGCTTTGCTCCTGATGTCTACTGGTTCAAATATTATTAATAATAGATGAAAGAGAGTGGCCAAAGCAAATCTCAGGTAGAGCTGCTCAACATCCTCTGATCACAAAGCGCATGTCAGCACTTGTGCTGGCCAGTCTTCTGCTAGTGTGACACAAGCTAAGTCATACGGGAAGTGGGAACCTCAATTGAGAAAATGTCCCCACCAGATTAGCCTGTGGGCCAGCCTGTGGTGCACTTTCTTGGTGACAGATGTGGGAGGGCCTATCTTACTGTTGCTGGTGCCACCGTGGTCCTGTGTGCTGTAAGAAAGCAGACTAAGGAGTCATGGGGAGCAAGCCAGTAAGCAGGACTCACTCCTCTGTGGCCTCTACTGCAGTTCCTGCTTCCAGGTTCCTGCCTTAAGTCCCTTCCCTGATTTACATAGATGTTGTACTATAAGCACTAAGATGAAATATACCCTTTCCTCCCCAAGTTGTTCTGACCATGGTGTTTCACCATAGCATTTCACAATGACTGTCAAAGTATGGAAGGTGATGAATCACTTAATATTAAATCAAAAAGCTTGGGGGATTTACACAATAATGGGTTTCATGATGTAATTTTCATTTATGTATCTATTTTGATCATATTTACCCACATTAAATTTCCTACCCCTTCCTGATGATCTTTATTCCTCTTTCCAAATAGCCTCTCTTCTGATTTTATTTTTTTAAAACTCTAGATTCAACATATGAGAGGAAACGTAATATTTGTCTTTCTGAGTCTTATTTTGTTTAACATAATGACCTCTAGTTTCATTCATTTTTCTAAAACTGACATAATTTCTTTCTTCTTTATAGTTAATTAAAACTTAACTGTGTCTCTACTCTACATTTTCTTTATCTGTTTATGTGTTGATGGTCAAACTACATAAAAAAGCTATTGTGTGTAGTGCGGCAATAAGCACTATTAGATATTTCTAACATATGCTGACTTTGATCCATTTTGGCATAGACCCAGGAGTGGTATAGCTGAATCATATGTTATTTCTAACTTTAGGTTTTTGAGATACTATTCTTTTTTTTTTTTTTAAAGATTTTATTTATTATGTATACAGCATGTATGATGGCAGGCCAGAAGAGGGCACCAGATCTAGTTACAGATGGCTGTGAGCCACCATGCGGTTGCTGGGAATTGAACTCAGGACCTCTGGAAGAGCAGTCAGTGCTCTTAACCTCTGAGCCATCTCTCCAGCCCCACTTGAGATACTATTCTTATTCATTTCCACAGTTGCCAGAAAAACTTACATTCTCATCAAAGGTGTACGATTCCCAGCCCCCCTCGGCCCAGCCCTGACCACCACCAAAGTTTTGTTGCTTGTTTTCTTAAGGATAGCCACTCTGATTGGGGGAGGCAGAATCTCAATGCAGGTTTGATTTGCATTTCCATGGTGTCTAAGAATGTTTAACATTTTTAATGTAAGAAGCTTGGGTTTTAAAACTAGTTACCATTAAATAGTTATGTAGCCTCAAGACCCTTAGCAATTCAGGACACTGTGCAGATATTATTCTAAAGATTGTCAGGAGGTAGTAAGGAAGGGAAATCGAGATAGATGACAGGAGTTTTATTCCAGACTGCCTTGCCCCATTCCTCCTTAATCCCCTAGCCCTACCACTAAAACCCATGTGATCCACCCATTTTCCTCTTAGCTGAGAAAAACTAGCTTATATAATCTTTCTCCAAGGACTTTGCTTCATTATATCAGACATTTTGAGGCCATTATGGCGGCACACACTTGTAAGACTAGCACTCAGAAAATGGAGACAGAAGGATTAGGAGTTCAAGATCATCCTCAGCTACAACATAGAAGGTTCAGGGTCAGCATAGTCTAGATGAGACCCTGAGTCAAAAAAAAAGGACAAAGGGCTGGAGAAATGGCTCAGTGGTTAAGAGCACTGGCTGCTCTTCCAGAGGTCTTCAGTTCAATTCCCAGCAATCACATGGTGACTCACAACTATATGTAATGAGATCTGATTCCCTCTTCTGGTGTGCATGGAGACAGGTCACTCATATACATAAAATAAATAAGAATCTTTTAAACTACAGAATTTGAGAACTGGAAGAAAACTGAAGGCCCAGAATACCTTTTGATCCTAACTATAATTATGTATAAATATGAATTTGCCAATTCAGAAAAGAAATACAAGTAGCCAATAAATCTATAAAATGTCCAGTTTAAGTCCTTAATAGTTCTGTTTAGCAGTTTCTGTGGCTTTGGGAAAAGGAATGCAAGTTTCTTATAGAAGAAAAAAATCTCACTAAAGATAGCACAGGGTTGAAATACCTGTGATGGAACAGTAGATGATGTGAGGAGCAATCTTGTCTACATCTTCATACCCTAGGCCCATCTCAGCAAGTTTGCCAGGGACATAGTTTTCCACAAACACATCACTAATGGCTGCAAGCTGAAAGAAGAGGTAAAGATTAATCAGATTTTTTTGAGGGACTTCCAAACCTTCAACAACTTTTCCCACATAATAGAACTGTAATTTTAATAAAATTCTCACATTGTAAGATCCCATAAAAAGGATTACAGGATAAATGAAGCATGTTTATGCAAACATAAAAGCTCCAATCAATTACTTGAACTGCTATAGTCAAGGAAATAATGGTTATAATATTTTTATAAATGTATTCTATTAAATAGATTCTGTACCCTTCAACTGTAAGAAACATTTACTAAACATCGTGTCCAAACTATTCTCAGAAGAATAAGTAAAAATAAAATATAAGAACATAAAATTCATTAATAAAATCTCTTAAAACCTTCACCAAAAAATAACCCTAAATACAATATCATCATTATACTCTATCCTTACTCTGTACTATTTCTAATTACAACACAGTTTAGTGCATTAGAACATGATTCTGAAATGCCTTCATACTTTCAAATGTTTTTCCCAAAGAATTTTAAGTATCTTTCATGAGATGTATTGTTTTGATTTTCAGCAACTGAAAGGGTGCATCTTAGAAGACATCTCAAAAAGAGAATATGTCATCCTTTGAAGCTCTAGAAATAAAAGCATCAGATGAGTAAGTGACCTTTCCAAAGACACACAAGAAATACATCAAGAAATATGAGCATCATAGCACTACTCCAGAGCAGGGACCTATTTACTTCACATCTTAGAGGTTTAAGAGCAAAACACCAGCCTCGGCTGAGGTCCAGTGAGGACCTCATGGAGAACATCATCACAGTACATGAAGCATATGCAAGAGAGATCAACCACATTATGAAACAGGCAGACAGAAAGTAGGATTTCATTATTCTAATGAGAACTGGAATCCCACAAGAACTACCTTAATTTATTTTGAGGACATATACTCCCATTACCCAGCTAACTTACATCTTCCATTTCTACTATATTCTTCTTATATGTTCCACCATATCCCAACATTGTCAAGCTGAGGAGTAAGCTTTCAAAACACACTCTTGGAACCACACTCAAACCACATCCATATAATAGCAGATAGAGACAGAAAAGCTGCATGTATGCCATTTAAATATCATGGTATACAGATATCCTTTCCAAATCTCAGGTTAAATTGATAGACCTCTTATAAGGGTGAGCTATACAGCATACTCCAGGTGTATTATTCTATTGCTATGATTAAATACTCTGCACAAAATCAGCTTAGTGGAGGATGGGATTTATTTGTCTTACACTTCCAGGTACAATCTATCATTAAGGAAAGTCAGGGCAGGAACTCAAGCAGAAACCATGGAAGAAGGCTGCTTACTAACTTACTTTCTGGCTCATGCCCAGATAACTTTCTTCTACAGCCCGGACCCACCTGCCTAGGTATGGTACCACCCAAAGTGAGAAGGGCCCTCCCACTTCAATTGTCCATCAGGGCAGTCTCTCATAGACAAAGCTATAGGCCAATGTGATCTGGACCATTCCTCAATTGAGGTTCTCTCTTCCTAGGTGACTATGTTGTGTCAAGTTGACAAGAAAAACTAACCAGCACACCAGATGAGCCTCAATATAAGGACATTTATTAATGCTGATGATTCTACCAAACATTTCTTAGGAGAATGGAAGGAACGTGTTGTTATTAAATGCAAAACACACTTTAGTTATATCTTAATTTACTCTACAAATTTTGTTGATCTGTTACTTACAAAGCAGCTCTTGCAGGTATTGAAAAAAAATCCTATCAAGTATATCTAAGCTTCTGTATATATAATCTCTGATGCATTTGTACTACATAGTAATTAATGTAATGTTTAATTATGTAAATGCTATTAAATATTTTACTCTTAAAACACTATTGGGTGTCAAAGGAGGTAAGTCAGCAGTTAAAAGCACTCTGCAGCACTTCTAGAAGACCCAGATTCAGTTGCCATCATCCATATGGCAGGCCCCAATCATCTGTGGCTACAATCCCAGGGGAATCCAAGACTTTCTTCTGGCTTCTACGGGAACCTCATATATATGGTGGACAAACAAACATACAGGCAAGACACCAATACACATAAAATAATAAACAATAATCATTAATATTGTTTAAAACCTAAGGCAGAATCCTTCTCCCCAAAAATCCCAACAACTTGAGTTTGATCTCCATAGCTTACAGAGTGGAAGGAGACAACTGTCTCTTACATGTGATTCTCTAACATCCATATATGCTCTGTGGTACTCACATGCACACACACATTATAAAATTAAATAAATAAACAAATAAATAAATAGCATCCATATATGCTCTGTGGCACTCACATGCACACACACAACAGATAGATAGATAGATAGATAGATAGATAGATAGATAGATAGATAGATAGATAGATAGATAGATAGATAGATAGATAGATGATAGATAGATAGATAAAAACAAAAATGCTTGGCCATATTTTTTAATTGAAAATAGATTCTTCTCTCATACAATACATCCTGACCACAGTTCCCCCTCCCTCTAGTCCTCCCCAACGTCCCCCCATCTCCCCTCTCACCTAGATCCACTCCCCATCTGTTCTCATTCAGAAAAGAGCAGGCCTCCAAGAGACAATAATCAAACACAACAAAACAGGACACAATATGGCAAGGTAAAATCCCTCATACTGAGGCTAAACAAGCCAACCCAATAGGAGGAAAAGAGTCCCAAGTGCAGGCAAAAGAGTCAGAAAAAAAACCTGTTCCCACAATTAGGAGTCCCACCAAAAAAAAAAAAAAAAAAAAAAAAAAAAAAACAAGCTAACAGCCATAACATACAGCCAGAGGACCTGGTGCTGACCCATGCAAGCCCCGTGCTTGCTACTTCAGTCTCTGGGAGTCCTTATGAGCCCTGTTTAGCTGATTCAGTGGGCCATATTTTTCTGGTATCCTCCATCCCCTCTTGACTCCTACAGACTTTCCTCCCACTCTTTAGTGGGGTTCCCTGAGCTCCAAGTGGAGGAACCCTATGGAGACCTCCTCTAAATTGGAGAATTTAGACTCTCTCTCTGGATAATATCTGGTTGTGGGTCTGCACCTATCTCATCTACTGCCAGAGGAAGCCTCTCTGATGATGACTGGACAAGGCATCTGTAAGTATAACAGAATATCATTAGGAATTATTTCATTGATTCTTTTTGCCAGTTGTGTTTCATTATACCCTAGGTCTCTGAATTATCCAGTCTCCAGTTTCTGGACATCCAGGCAATGAAGGGCATGGGCTGCCTCTTATGGCATGAATCTCAAGTTAAACCAGACATTAGTTGGCCACTTCCACAAGTTCAGTTCTACCATCGTTCCAGCCCATCTTGCAGGCAGGATAGATTGTATGTCAAGGGTTTTATGAGTGGGTTAGTGTCCAGGTTTCTCTTTCTGTAGCCTGCAGAGTACCTTTCCATGCCAAAGAGACTAGAATGTAGAGGTGAAGTCTTCACGTAGGTACCAGCTTGACCTCTCCATGTTCAAGGAGCTATGTGGCCCCACTGTTATTTTCAGAGAACAGCAATGAGGCCCCACTATTATTTTCAGAGAACAACCTCTGTCCTAGCATCAGCCTGAGTTGTTTAGGGACCTCCATGGGACTCCACTGGCCAATAACTCAACTGAATAAAACCCAGTCCCACCACTGGAAAATAGTTTTGATGTGAATTTCCCTGATGGCTAAAGATGTTGATGTTCTTTCAGTATTTCTCAGCCATTTGAGTTTCCTCTATTGAGAATTCTCTGTTTAGATCTATACCCCATTTTAATAGGATTATTTAGGGGTGTAGTTGTTGTTGTTGTTGTTGTTGTTTTTGGTATCTAGTTTTTTAATCCTTTAGCTGATGTAGAGTTGGAAAAAAATCTTTTCCCATTCTATAGGTTGCCACCTTTTCAGAATGACTGTGTCCTTTGCCTTACAGGAGCTTTTCAGTTTCATAAGGTCCCATTTATTAGTTATTGATTTTAGTGCCCGTGCTATTGGTATGCTGTTTAGAAAGCCTTCTCCTGTGCCAGTGTGTTCAAGGCTACTCCCCACTTTCTCCTTACCAGGTTGAGAGGATCTGGTTTTTTGTTAGGGTCTTTGACTCACCTGGACTTGAGTTTTGTGAAGGCTGGTAAGTATGGATCTATTCATATTCTTCTACATGCAAGACACCCAGTTTGACCAGCACCATTTGTTGAGGATGTCTTTTCCAGTGTGTTTTTCTGGTTTCTTTATCAAAAATCAGGTGTCTATATGAATGTGGATTTATGCCTGGTCTTCATTTTGATTCCATTAATCAACATGTCTTCTTTTATGCCAATACCATGTCGTTTTTATTACTATATCTCTGTAGTATAACTTTGTTGCGGGATATTTGATCATACTATGAAACTCCAAGACTGTGTTAATAAAATTAACCTTGGATCAGGGGGTGAAGCCAGTGACTACTTGACAGGAATAGGCCAAAGAAAGAAAGGAGGACCCAGGAATATGGATAGAGAGACACACACAGGAAGGAGTAGGGAGGGACTTAGAGATTTGAGGTCTTTTTGGTTTGGGATGAGTGGAGAGATGCTCTCCTGCAGGGTCTCCAGACAAAAAGAAAGGTCAGCTGGTTCCTTTCCAGCTTCTCTGATCTAGCAGGTTTTCACCCTAACATGACTCCCAAGTCTTTATTGGTAAATAGAACAATAGAGCCTTAGTTAAAACCTACATTTGTTGGCCGCAGCCGAGCCAGTGCCAGTGGAACTGGAAATCCTGCCAGGACAGAGTCTGAGCTTCAGTTTGCTGACTTTGGGGGCCACAGACATAGAGGGGAGTTAAAATATCAGTAGGTTCAGGTGTGGCCACTAAGCCAACAGAAAAACAACATAATGATATCAGGAATGGTGAACCCTCCAGAAGTTCTTTTATTGCTCAGGATTGTTTTAGGTATCCTGAGTTTTTCCTGTTTCCATATGAAGCTGAGAATTATCCTTTCAAGATCTGTGAAGAATTATGC